AAGAAGCTCAAAACCAGGAGTTTGGTACAGAGAACAGAGGTGAAAAAGAGACAGGAAAGTATGTAGCAGACAATACAGCAGCAGAGATAAAGACATTAACACCACTAGCTAAATAAACAGGACTTAAGCCTAAATCCTTATTCACAGATCTTGTGTAGAGGATTATTCCTGTAGCAGAATATCCTTGGTTTGTCTGATGCACTGAAAAATAAAGTATCAGGAACAGAGATGTGTGCAACTAGCTGAATTCCACATCTCCATAAAAAATAGTCTTCCTTAAATATAAGTAGAATTTGAAGCACCAGCACAGTGTGATGCATACTATCATCAAGAAAACCTATGCACTGAATAGTCAATTTATTTTTTCTTGACAGTTTTCCCCCACATGGTGAAAAAGTTGAATACAGGTCTGCATGTGATGATCATAATATTCCTCTGTGTGGCCATTTTCTTTTCTGTGGTCAGTTTTGGATTCTGCATTCTTAACGCAATAAAAGTTCCTTACCGGGCTATTAACGGTCCAGCAGGAGCATGCCTTTGGAACTTCCTTGCAGGTAAACTAATTTTCCAGTGTTTCTCTAGTCGCATTCATAGAAAATGACACAAGTTCCTTCTTCTGCCTTACTAAATACCTCTTTGACTTAAATACTTGTGAATACAATGAAGTTGGCGGTGAATTCACACCTCTCAAAACAGAACTTCCAGGTGGCATCTTTGGCTTATTGTATCTAGTCGACATTAACAGGAGCTATGAATGCCAGCTTTAGGCTTTATGTCACAGATAAAAGTATGTTTGCCCATAGAATAAAGCCGAAGCATTTTGAATGTGTTTAAGCCATGCCTTTGTTTATTCCTACTCTGTATAATGCTCACTGATGTATTCAATAAGTCTTTTGAAGCAAAACAAAAATATGTCTTGTTTTGATTTGATAACAGTGAATACTTATTTCATTTTGTTGCAGGTGGATTTGTAGTATTTGCAGTCACCAGCTTCATGGCTGCTGTGAAACTTCATCACCTCACAGAAAGAATTGCCAATTTTCAGGAAAATGTCTTTCGGTTTGTTATCTTAGAAGAACGCTTTGAAGACTGTTTTTGGATTTGTGTGGCAAGTGCCACATCACATGCAGTGAATTTGCTGCTAATAGCCATTAGTGGGATTCATTTCCCTAAAATTAAGACTAAAACAGAAGAAGTGAATGTTACAGCAGAAGATATCATGTACTAACAAATCTACACAAAACAATTTTGGTCAAGTGAACTGTTGTGACAGGAACAGTTTCTTGGCTCTTCAGCCTTTGTTTTGGATAGATGATTTACTTATGTCAGTCTACAATACCAGCAACTAACATGTCTGGGAAAAAAAAATAAAAACCTGCTATAAATGTCATTATTCTCAAAACAGACTGATATCTGCAGTGAATATATGCTGTTCCTCTGTTTTCAGAAAATTTTCACTTTGGGGTATTTTAGAAAACTAAGGTAAAATATTTCATCAAACAAAATGTCTTCTTTGTTTAGAAAGACAACTTGTTCATCACAAATCTTTGAAACTATAAGGTTATTTCAAAACAAAGAATGTGTATTTGGCATTTACTTTCACAGAATTATCTAGAGCATATTGAGAGGGACATATATGTTTGATGATGTTATACAGCATTGAAAAAGAAAACTTCATCATTTGTGAGGCTAAAGTTAAGGAGCAGCAAAGGCTAAGTGTGTGTGTATGAAATGTTTTTAAAACAGAAATTACCCAATACCACAAGGCAAAGAGGTGAGAAATGTAAAGTATATGGGATGCTATTAGTCTAGGAAGAAAAAATTATTAGCTGCTAAACAAATGTTTCATTGCAGCTTCTGAAAGTTAACAGATTAATGGTAATAGTGCTTTTAGATAACCTGGAAAACATTGATCTGACAGATTAATTTTCTTCATAACTGTGTTAATTAACATTTAACTCTATGTGAAATCAAGTAATAGTGAGGTGAAACAGTATTGAAATTAATAGAACTGGCTAAATTGATGGAAAAATTACTTTCTTAGGAAGTACCATAATTTTGACATGGATTTAACCAATTCTTGGGTCCCAAGGAGTGAATATTTTTGAGAAAAAAATATGGAATATATAATTTAGAATGGATACAGTGGCCTATACCATCTCTGAGTTTGGCTCTACAAGGTTAGCAGGATTATGAGTGAAGCAGAAATTTGTGAGGTCCTCCTGCAATAGGTCCTACTAACCTGTGTTCTTCCAGACACCATGAGCCACTTTTTTTTTTGTTTGGTTTTTTTTTCCCCCAGGAACACTAAAATTATTTTTAAAAATTTAAAAGATAGATTAAAAATTATGATGAGTCTAGAGAACTGTTACAATTTTAGCATAAAGGAGACTCAATAAAGCAGAAAAAGTTCCTATTTTATACCACCCTCTTACTTAATTTTCTTCTAAATTTACTGGCGCTTTCACTCAGACTGAACCCTGGGCCACAACTCCAGAAAGATGATACAATAGCCAGTATATGGATAGGCAGCAAACAAACCCAGTCTACAAAGGTGTCTTAGATGGTAACAACATAGTAGTGCCCTGAAAACTGCCCACAGGGTCCCCTGTGGTACCACCACCTTCCTCTCCCAGAAAATTCTGAGTGGCTTTGAGATAGAAAAACTTGAAGTGCAGCATAATTACACAAGTAGAAAATGTAATACTTGTCATTTGTAATTGTTCTATGAACATGTATAATTTAGATGTAGTTACTGTACAGAAAGAATTATATTGTTGCATGTAACTTAGCTTTTGCTAAATATAATTCTCTTCAGGAGGTAAAAAGGAAGCAGATTCTTAAATCCTCCAAATTGAGTGATTGCTTTGAAAATGCTTTTCTGTAGTATTAATATGCGTGCACTGCAACATATTTTCATTCTGATAATGAGCTGCTTGATGGCCCCCAAATTTCCACCTCCTTCAAAAATATTGAATAAGAATCATGGGACTATATAGGTAAGGACAAGATTAAAGATTTGTTGGAGTGGATTCCTAGGTAGGTCATAGTAGCTCTGAAAGAACCTGTAGGATGCACTGTATACATGAAGTTAAAGGGAGATAATTGGGCTGATTAGCATTGTAATTTCTTGGTTTGAATCAATTCAACAATAGAGCATACTCTGCAGTAAAGGTCCAAGAGAAGATTTCTCTTACAGCAGACCTATGAAGCATCATTGTGAAATACTGCAGCTGCACAATTGAATGACCAAATAACATTATCACCCAATGACTGTATTGTGACCTGTGAGAAAATAGTATTTTCAGTTTAGAGTGGACAGAAGTATTGCCATGCATTGACTAAACTTAATGAAACAGATGTAAGGCTAAATTAAACTTCCAGCTGCACACATTGTCTGAGTTTAAGCACTGCTAAGATACACTGATAGGTCAATGCATGGAATATTTCCCCTGGAAAATTTTGTCTGGAGAAAAAAAGGTTAAATGCAGTCATACATATTTGAAAAGTACAATTACAAAGCCCTGGGGTTAACAATAGGTAAGTTTATCACTTGCACCTTTTCAGCTTTCCCTTCTACCTCATAAATTAGTTTCAAAAATGTGCAACTTGATATATGTGATCTACTTTATTTACACGATTTTATTATGTTTCACATGGCATATCTGACCATATGCATGCTCAACATGTGGAAATGATACTTCTCTGGGGGCACTTCTTACCTTGGAAGATTTGAAATCCCAGATGAGAACATTTATGACTAATATCTGCCCAGAACTTTGAAGACGTTATGGGTCCAATCCTATCTTTCCTTAAAATTAAAGACAACTTCATATATCTCAAAAATACCACTTAATTTGTATGTGCAGAATAAAATATATAAGCAGTATGAATGTAGAGAAGCTATGGAGTTTAAAGAACTAAAAAACTGTTCATTGTATCCAAGAGCCTTGCAAAATAAATGAAGCTAAAAATTAATTATCGCTTTGATTCCTTAAATAATATTATGCTTTAATGTTAAAAAAAATATTTTTACAAGATAAATCAAACTGGATATAATTTCCCTCATTCATTGTTTCTGAGTGCTGTTGTCCTTAACAAAACATGTTATTTGTCTCTGTACCACTTCACAGAGAAAGCTGTGAGGTGGGAAGTGCAATGGACTCCTAGAGAACAGGCCCAACTCCTTCTACACCATGTTCTGCTGGTCTAACAGTATAACCCCGCTTAAAGATGTATGGAAAAGCAAACATTGTTATACATATTGTCATAATGTGTCTTATTCTCACCTATTAAAATGAATGACATAAAATTTATGCTTCACACTTCAGAGGCAGGGAAAGAAACAAAAAATATCTGGATCACCTGAAATTTAAGTCCAGCGCATGTTCAATGCTCATTAGACTGACAATATAGCAACTGTCAGCAAACTCCAGCCAGTTCTTTTCTGTGCAGTGCTTTTGCTGAGCATAAATCTACTTCTGATATTACAGCGATGACCCTGTATTCTGCTGTGAATTTTTCTGACAGAATATAACCACAGTCATCCTCATTGCATTGTTGTTTTTGGTTTTTTTTTTCATTTACCACGTTTTGATTTTTTTTTAATTTCAGCCTGAAATTGTTACTGCTTTCTCGTAGAAAATAACGTGCGTTTGCAATAAAGTTTTATTTTTCTGAAATAATTTCCTTTTTAATCTTCAATACGCAAATTAAGTATGCAGTATGCAGACTAGGGCTGCCTAAGTTTGTGACAAGCCCCCGAGAGAAGCACGACCACCCATATGGAGCATGCCAGGAGAGGGCAAAAAATCCACCGTGAAGCCGAGGCGCCCCTCGCACAAATTCGGGTACGCCATCGGGAAACCCCAGCTCCCGTCCCCAGGGATGCCCGCCCTCCATCCCGGGCACCGCCCCTCGCGGCGCCGGCTGATGAGGCACGGAGCGCGCCGGGCCCGGCCGCGCTGCTCCTTCCCCTGCTGCCCGCCGTGCTCGGTGCCATGCTGCTGCCCTGCGTGCGGAGCCTGGCTGCGCGCCGCCTCGCCCGGGACGTGCCCCGGGCCTGCAGCTGCTCGGCGCAGGGCCCCTCGCCGCGGGAGTACAGCCGCGGCGCGGCCGGCAAGGTGAGGGGCGGCGGGGGAGCCGGCGCGGGAGCTGCGTGTCCCTTCCTCCGCTCGGGCCCGCGGCTCTCGGCTGAGCGCCCCGTGTGCCCCCCGGAGCTGGGTCAGGAGTGCTGCGGCTCTCTCTGCTCCTTTTGGGTGTACAGGACTGGAGGTCTGCGCTGGCGGGGAGTAGCTCTTTTGTACTTAAAATTACTGGTTGAAAGAGTTTTTGCCTTTATATGATCGGCAGAATTGCTGTAAGCTCAGTTATGTTGTATCTGATTTATTTTTCACACTTTAAATTAGTTGTAGTCCTTGCTTACTGAAGTGTTACTCTGTGCATCAAATTCAAAAACTAAGATAAATATGTAGAGATGTAGCAATAGTTTGAACAGTGTGCTCGATGCCTCTCTGATATGGGTCTGTAAATCTCGTGTTATTTACATTAATTTGTGTCCTTTGCTAGGGTCTTGTTCTGGGAGTCTACTCTAATGAAAAGGATGATGGTGCTGCCCAGTTCACTAGTGCAGGAGATGCTTTTGATAAGCTTGTGTCTGGAAAGCTGAGAGCGCTTCTGTCCTTGTAAGTGTGTGATAAGCTTCTGAAATGGACTAAAGTACTACAAATATCAGGAGGAATGATCTTTTTTTTTTTTCGTTATTACTGTCTGTGTCCGTATCACTGTCAGGCTGGTATTTGCTTCGGCAGTTTGGAAGGGAACTCCCATGATAAAACCAATCATTGAGCAAACATGCAAAAATTTCATGAGACTTGTCCTCTGCTCTGAATCAGCACAAAGCCAAACGTCCCAGTTGCATGTGTGGTCATGCATGTGGACCACTGTGTGGTCATGGAGTAAATGTAGTACTGTAAGATTTATCACAGGTAAGGTCTTCTGTATTGAAAGAATCTTTTTGTGTCCTAGATGTGGGCCATCTTTGAAGAAAGGCAAAACACGCATATTTCATGGTTTGCATCAGGTATGAGCTTTGTGTTTTCGTATGCTAGTAGATTGATGTGTGAAGTTTGTCCTTGTCTAATTTTATGCTGAGTTCACTGCTGTGCTTGTATAAATGGCCTGCTCTTCTTCCCTCTCCTTGACCGTTTCAACTCCTGCTCTGCCCTGCCCATGTTTGCACAGACTTTTGTACAGTCCTGTACTCCCTCCACCGTGCTGCAAATGGAAAGGATGTGAACAAGTCTGCTCCAAAGGTGCTGTACTGCTTCCTGAATGAGCTAAAGCATGGCAGTTTTGGATCTGACTTCTGTGCCTCCTGTGCCCAGGAGGAGTGAGTGTGTGAGGAGTTACTGATAGGTGCAAAGACCTTCCAGACCTGACAGTTCTAACAAAAGACAGTTCCTTCACATGCTTTTGTCAGAGGTTTTAAGGCTTGAATCCTCTGAAAACAAGATATGGGACTGTTCTTCAAGCAGTCTTTTGTATGCACAGACATGATAGATCACAAGGGTATGGAATGAAGATTCATCTTCTCAATGTCAGGCTTTTTGTGCCATTTGAGAAGCCAGGATAGACCTAATGCACGTGTGTGAAGCTGACCAATATGGAATGATTTATGCATTTTTGGAGTCCTAGCTAAGGCCTAGGCAGGCATGTGTTGTGACACTAGGTGTTCCTGTCTAAGTAACTGAATCTTACATTAAGGCTATTTATATAATCTGAAATAAATCCATTTGTAGTGATAATTGCCTACCATGTATAAATTCCTGTGTGGACACCCCATGCAGGTGACACTGGAGTTGGTAAAAAGGCTCTCAGAAATTTCATGGAAGTTGAGTGCAATGAAGGTCCCATTATCTCAGTTCTGCATACAGGATGGTCTCTGAAGTGAATAGCAAATCTCTGCAAAAGAAGATAGGAAAATGTTAACTGGTATCATGGATTTTCTGGAAAGCTAACACAAGTTTCAGCATTTTGTGGACTAAAAGACTTTACTACAGTGTAGCAGTTTGAAAGCTGATTGTTAGAGGCTGACACACATGGAAAGGAAAGCCTAAGATTAACTTAATTTTTTCTTAAGAGCTATAGGAACATTATATATGTTCATATATAGCTTTGAGTTTTATTCAAATTTGACTTCACTCTTAAAAGGCTCCATTAATGATCATTACTTCTTTTTTTCTTTCTAATTGTATGCAGCTTAAGAGGCAAGCATGTAGTCTGCTGTGCTACATTTTCCTGAGTTCTGGAGAGGTACCCCTGTGCAACTTTGGTTTGCTACTTGGCAAATCCTGCCAGCAGTGCTCCTGAGATGCTAACACACTGAGCTTTTGAAATTATTTTCTTGAACATAGTACTGTGCCAAAAAAAGGTTACAATTCTCCAGATAAGTTCTGTCCTTTCTTACAGCTTGAAAGCTGGATCTGCTTTCCAAGGACTCTTAGGCTTGCCCTTGGGAGTATCAGATTTACCATGTGTTGAGCATAAAGCCCTGTCTGCTATGTGCAATGCACATGATTTTATTAACTGGACAACAGATAACTGACTGCATGCCTGTGGCAAATGATTGGGAGCACAGGACAGCAGCACCATGCGGGCACTCTTAATGAAAAGTGTCTGATATCTATATTGAATATATGTATTTTAATGCTATGCTTGGATTGATTTAGAAAGTAAAGTCTTTTTAACAACTCTGCAGTGTCTGTAACAATGAGGAAAGTGAATCCATTTGTGTGCTGGCTTCATCTAGGACTTTCCAAGTGTGGTGGTAGTTGGCTTGGGTAAGAAGAATGCTGGAATAAATGAACAAGAAAACTGGAATGAAGGCAAAGAAAATATTCGTACAGCTGTTGCAGGTTAACTATTTTTTAATTTTTTAAGCATTTTATCTGTAAAGCAATTGCAGTTCTGCAGCATGTTCCACTTTTGAAGACCAAGTCTAGGTATGCCTTTGTTTTAAAATGCACAACTTACTGCATGGTTTGGTAAATGCATTTACTTGTCACTGATACTCATGTAAATTTTTCCTTAGAGAGCAAGTACTTATCAAGAATATAAATCAAATCTGAGGACAGGTAACTGCAGTTATTTATATCAAATAACTTTCATAAACAATGTGATATTGAAAAGGCACTTGTCTAATTAGTATTTTGGAGCTGGTGAACATCACCAATACACTTTATGGTCATTCTGTATGCACATATATTTACGTCTGCCACTTTTTTTTGAAATTGAACTCAATTTCATAATTGAGATACGTGTTATAAACTAATATATTTCACAACATCAGTACTATGATTCAGTGTATATTATCTGCTGAAGACAGAAGAGGGCTTATCTTAATCAAGGATAACTGCTTCATCTAAGAGTGTAAAATAAGAATTAAGAGTTCTCACTGAAGACTTCATAGTCTGTGATTGGATGACAGCTGTATGTCCAAATGCTAGCCTGTAGCTGCCATTAACATTATTAATTAACGTTTACTTTCTAGCTGACATAAAACATTGTTAAATTACTTGGAACAAAACAGAATTTATGGAATACATTGTTTATAAAGGGGTATATAAACTCACCTGGAAGAAAAGAACAGTCATATTCTTGGCAAAAATCAAAATTATGACAAATTTCTGATACCAGTAGATAGTCATAATTCATAGCACTCCAGAATAACAGAGCCTTGCTTTGCTACAGAATGAGCTTTAAGGAGTCAGAACAACTGTGATCTTTCCTTTTTTATTCTTGTGAAACATTTTAATAATTACAATTCATCAACTGATACTTTTAGTAAAAATTTGCCAGTAAATGTTCATTAGCATTTTTAATTCTTCTACTGCATGATCTCTTTGACTGACTTACTTATAAACTCAGGTATCTTGAATTAAAATTATTTCTTCCTTGCAATGTCCCATTGATCACCTTGGACCCCTGTTTTGCTGTTCCATGCAATAGGTGGCCTTCAGTTCTGTGCTGTATTTTTCAGTTGGCTGCAGGCAGATCCAGGACCTGGAGATCCCTTGTGTGGAAGTAGACCCCTGCGGAGATGCACAAGCAGCTGCAGAAGGTGCTGTCCTTGGATTGCATGAATATAATGAGCTGAAGCAAAAAAAGAAGCCTGTAGTTACTCCTCAGCTTCATGGAAGGTGATGGCAAAGGAAAACTTGCCTATTTATTCATCTGTTGTTTGGTTATTTATGAAACTGTATGCATGACATGCTTGTGCATGAGAAAAACAAAACTGAAAGAATAGGGCTAGCAACAGTAATCTTCTTAACTCCTACTCATTTGAATTTCCTGAAGTATTTTACATCTCAAGTATATTTATAGTGTTTGTTCCATGTGTTTTGATGCCATATTCAGAGGTTAAGGGTAAATAAATGTTGCTTCATAGAAGAGAAAGATCACGATAAAAGTAAAAGCTGCCTGAAAAGAAGTTGTGATATACTCGGACTTCTGTTGGTATTGTGTGCCAGAATTGTGGAGAAGAGGTGCTTCAAACTCCATAAATGGATAAATCCTTTGGATAATCAGGAAATGCTGACATCAGACCAATGCACTATGGATATAGTTCATTTGTTATATTTTCATTCACACAGTACAATGTAAGAAGAGAAGCCTGGGTTCTTCTGGTCTCTAAATAGACATCACTTACTGAGAGCAGAAAGTAGAACCAGCTTTTGGTTTCAGAATAATTATCGGAGTGGACTTTGGATGTTCTGTATAGGATATTCTGTCATGCAGGGGAGAGGTATTTAATGTATGTACTTTAAACAGGAACAAGTTCTTAAAAAGAAGTCAGTGAAATAAAGTGGAAGCCTCTTGATTAAGCATGTCTTGATAAGTTACATGTAAAATAAACACTCTTCTTATTTTGTAGCACAGCAGATAGTTTAGAACCTCATTAAATTTGTATTAAATAATCATTTCCTGAAAACATAGATGGTCCTATGACCAGTTATGGAAGTAATTTTTTTTATATAGTAATTGAGGTTGGGAAAGACTTCTGGAGGTCATTCAGTCCAGCTCCAACTTGGATTCGGGATAACCTGGACATTACATACAACATTAAAGCTTGGTCAGATTGATCAGGCCTTATGTTTAGTCCATATTTTAATACCAGTTATGATACCAGTTTATCAGTTTATGATACCAGTATCATAAAGTCACCCCAGGACATTCCTGAGTTGAAAATTCCACAACCTCACTAGACCATCTATTCTAGTGCTTACCTACACTTATAGTGAATTTTTTTCTTTGCATCCTGCATTTTTTCTTGTTGAATCTTACTGTCTTACTGTGCAGCTCTGAGATGTGTCTGTGTTCAAACACATTCCTGCTTCAGTTCATGTTTTCTCAATTTGCAAGGATTCTATGTGAAAACATAGCTAAAGTCAAGAAAAATCACAGAATCATTTAGGCTGGAAAAAACCTTTAAGATTAATTGCATCCAATTAATGTGGTCCTCTGTGACAAACCTCATCACACAATTCAGTTAAGCTGGGCAGGAATTTGCGCCAGATCTAAATTGGTGGTTCCCAGTGACCATCTTGTCCTTCATATACCTAGAAATGGCTCTCAAAATTACTTTCTCTGCAAACTTCTAAGGAATTAGTCTGGGATAACTGACTTACAGTTCCTTGTATCCTCCCTGGTATTTTTAAAGATACATATTTGTCCTTTTCAGTCATTGGGAGCCACATTCAGTTACACCTTTCAAACTGAAAGAGCCTAGGCTTGCAGTGATGCCAGCCAGTTCCTTCAGAACCCTCAGATATGTGCTGCCTGCTACCAAGGACTTGTGTATGTCCATCATCCTTAAGCTAAGTCTTAAATCTCTCTTCCTGTCATGAGGAGTGCCCTTCTTCCTCAAACTCTGTTGCTGAGCACAAAGGACTGGGGAATCTGGAGGCAGATCTTTATTAAGGCTGATGCAAAGCCAGCATTGAGAACTTCAGTCTCGTCAGTGTTGAGTGGATTGCCTGCACCATTTACCAAGTGAACAGTGTTATTCCTGCCCTACCTTTTGCTGCCGGTGTACCTATTGAAGTCCTCTAGGTACCTTTCCCATTTCTTGCCAGTTTCAGTGTCAGCTGACATTTGCCTTCCTAATTACATCCTTCCATATCCAGGCAATACTTCTGTGTTCCTCCTGCATTCCTATTTTAATAGTTTATATTCCTGTGTTCCTATTATTGTCCTGCTCTTTTTAGAGGCAAAATCCAGTTCAGTGCCTTGCTTTGTGATAACTGTAATAAGTAAGTAAGCTGTCTCAGTAAAATGAAAGGTTTTGTACTGTTGGTCTGGCAAAGTCATCAGAGAGACTTCCCAGCTCAGAGAGACAGGCAGCTCAGTGAATATTTGTTCTGTCATTTGTTAGTGAAGTTCCTTGAGTGCACTGGGAAATGAGATCCAAATTCCACTCTTGCCACATAATCATATTTCAGTAAAGGGGAAAACAGAATTGGAGACTTTATATGGTAAATAAAAACTTTGAAAGCTGTTAAAAGTAATGTGATTCGAAACTTTGGAAGGGATATTAAACCTTTTGTTTAAGGATTTAAGCCAATCTTTGATTAGTAAGGATTCGGATAAAACCTAATGAATTGGATAGATAATTTCACATCTGTCTACTCTTGGATTCTTCTAGCTTTCTCTGAAGTATTTGGCACTGACTAGAAGCAGAGATGAGTTACTAGACTAGAGTCCTTGTAGTAAGATAACTGTGATATTCTTAATTGCTCCAAATTAATGATACTGCATTTTAAGAAAGAAAATATGTGAATGCTGACATCTTACTTTTGCAAATGTCTATAATCCTGATTGTTGTGTGTTGTTGTTTAGTGCTGAAAGTGAAGCCTGGCAAAAAGGTGTTATCTATGCTGAGGGACAGAACCTGGCTCGGTACCTTATGGAGGCTCCAGCTAATTATATAACTCCAATCAAATTTGCTGAACACATTGAACAGAAGCTCAGAAGTTTCAGCAATGTAAAGGTTCACATAAGGTAAATTCCATGGAAATGTTTCCTCTGTAGGGTAGAGGACCATAACAGTAAGATAAGATAGCTTCCAGGTTATTCAAATCTGAAGTTATTCAAATCTCATTTTCCCTTTGCTAATTCAAATGACAAAAAGCAGGGGAAGTGTTTGGGGAAAAGATATGAGAGGTGCCCAGACTGCAGGCTGTTGTCAAGGATTAAATCAGCTGCTAGTTTGCAGAGGAAGCAAGATACTGTGATGCAGTAAAATCATTAACTGTCAATTAGTCATGCAGTCAATTACTGCTTAATTAACACATGTGAAAAGAAGCCTCAGTGAATAGAGGGCTAATAAAGTACCTTTTTTTTTCTTCCCAAGTGAGTTTTTTACCTACCTTTTGCTTTTTTTTGTGTGGATGTGATAATAAAACATCTTCTACTTGTTGCTGTTGGAATTTTTTCAATAGTTTTTAAAAATGTGAGATGGAGTCCATAAAAGCCCTTGCAAGTGAATTTTCACAGAAATTGCCCCTGAATTTCTACTTTCTGCTGTATAGTGGTAACAGATTTACTAGTTGTGCATGTTTTACTGACAAGCAAAAGAATGGGGGAAATCTTGCTAGCAGAAAACTAAATGTAACCTGCTTCAATACTGTTACTTCACATACCTTTAGCATCTACAGCCTCACAGGCAAGTGGAAGATCAGTGTTTCTGATGCAGAAACTGTAGACAAGCCCTTGTTCTGTTGCTGTTTTTAAACAAGACAAAACAAATATCAAAGATCAACTTTGAGGAAGTATTTTTCTGCTTCACCAAAAAAGGTAGTAGTGATTTGATTTAAACTACTGCTTCCAAAATAACTAACTAATATGAAATGGTTTGTGTACAAACCTTCAAGAATCACGATCTCAAAAAAATCACCTTGGTCAAAGTGTCCAGTTGAAAAAAAAAAACTAACTAAAGTAACACATGTTTCTATTCCAGACCAGAGTCTTGGATAACAACACAAGAGATGGGAGCATTCCTGAGTGTAGCTAAGGGCTCAGCTGAACCTCCCATCTTTCTGGAGATTCACTATTTGGGGAGTGCTAATACAGATGACTCCCCGTTGGTATTTGTAGGAAAAGGAGTTACATTTGACAGGTATGTATGCTTGTATGCCAATATTTTAATTACTAGAGGGAGAAAGTGCTTTCCTGCTATTCGTATTCAATAGGGAGATGCTTTTTCATTGCTCAGCACATCTTCCAATGCCATTCCACTGAACTTGCTTTATATAATAGATTGTGCTGCCTTTTCTGGCAATAAGACAACATCAGTTGTCCAAAGTAGGACTTAATATGCCATCATCTTGTAAGGGGAAGAAGGAAATTCAGGGAAATAAAATAAAGAAGGTGCTATTTTTTTTTTCTTGTCCTGAACAAACCTGCAGATGAAGAATTTGCATGTTTAGAATTGCAGCATGTCACTGGACATTTAGATGGTGCTTAAGGAAAATAATAGAAAATAGCTCATTCTTTGTAGCAGTTCCTTATAGCTACTTTCCATGGCACATCGTACTGAAGTATTTATCAGTCATGTACTATTCATGTACATAAATATTCATGCACATCATGTACTATTTTGTTTGTTTTGTGCACTGCTGTTATGAAGACCGGTGAGTTACTCCACTGCAGTTTACCTGGATTTTTACGGTCTCCTAATTATAAGAAAGTAATATTTTATCTGAAATGAAAACCCAGATACCTTGCTTACAGTACACTTACTAGGGTTGCAGAAGTATTTGGGGCACCAGGTCTAGCATTTACTGATTTTTGGTGTTAACACTGCACATGGACAGAACATCATCAGTGTATGTGACATCAAACTTGAGCTGTTTGTTCCAGCGGTGGCATTTCACTGAAGCCGTCATCGGGTATGGATGCGATGAGAGCAGATATGGGAGGGGCAGCAACTGTCTGTTCAGCCATTGTGACAGCAGCAGCTCTAAAGCTACCTTTGAACATAATTGGTAAGTGTTTTTGTGTGGAGAATTCAAAAATCTTAGTTCTACAAGGTTTTGTGAAAGAGTATTTTTCTAGTAGCAATGGTGAAAGCCATGTACAAACATTATGGACTCTTGCACACCTACTTGTCTCATTTGCCTTGCTCAATCTCTCTTCCATTTTTACTTGCATATCAAAAAATTACTATTCTTTACTTGAATATAATATTGGAACACCAAATCAAGATTTTTATGGTATGATTTTTAGATCTTAAGTGAGAATTGTTTGTCAATAGAGATACTTTCAATGTGTCTTTGAAAAGTCCCGATCCTTCATTGCAAGAAGGAATGTGCATCTCTGTATAAGCAGTTAGAAGGAAAAGGAGTCAGGAGTGCCGAGCTATCTCCATGTGTCCATGAGTCCATGCCAGAACTGAACAGGAAGAGGGATCAGCTGTGGTTTCCTTATGTGAATATCTCAGCAGAAAACTAAAACAAACCAAACCAGTCTGCTGATACTGTATGTGCAGTGATTTTTTTTTCTGAAAAAAAAAGTTAATTTTTTATGTAGAGGTAAAATTAAATAAGCTGATTCAGACACTGTGGCAAGACCAGCTGGCAATGACATGGAATATGGTCTAGGATATATTTTAGTTTGAGAAGCTCGACGTGTAAGTTAACTGGTACTTCAGTCACTTCTGTGCTTCAGCCAGGAGAGGGCAGTGATGGCCACACACATCCTCACGGCATGAGGTTCCTCACTGAAGTGTGCGGTGGGGAGCGCAGGCAGTGGAGCCTGTCTGTACATTATGCCGCTGAAAAGTGGTGCTCCACTTGTGGACCTTGTGCCAGGTGCAGGTTTTCCCTAGGAGTGGTGGAGTGCCTTTCATTCCATGATCCCAGTCATAGTTGCAGTTCTGACTCTGAGCCTGTATTTTGCTCATTTCTAGTTGTTCTTGGTATGGCTGGAGTTATGTGGCAAATCCTTGGACCACTCTAGACATTATAGAATGAGCAGAGCTTGAATGGCTCCAGAGTGTTTATTTGAGAAGTTTTCAATTTCAGAAAGAAAGAAGTTCCTTTACTTGTGAATAATTATATATGGGAGACATAAAATAGTATTTATTGCTCTTCTATATCACTTGTCTGGGAAAAATGTAGAAGAAAACTCTAGTGGTAAAGTAGTGTAGGTGAGAGAGTCTGGTGGTGCATCATGCAGAGGAGTTTCTCTGATTGAAAACTGGACTGTATGTCTTTCATTAACTGGGAAAATTCAGATTTTGAGCTAAAATTCAAAATTACACTTGCACTGTTTTCTTAAGGAGGTTTTTGGAGTTTATCTAAGTGGGTTTTTTCTACAGCTTTTCTGAGAAGAAAACTAGTAATTCACTTTCCTTTTTGTCTCTGAGGTTTGGCACCCCTCTGTGAAAATATGCCCAGTGGTAAGGCAAACAAGCCTGGGGATGTAGTTAGAGCCAAGAATGGAAAAACAATACAGGTATGCATGTGAAACTTGGATTTTGAGTGCTTTTAGTGAACTGGTTTAATCAACTAAGTTGACTGCAGAGTACATTTGGAAAAAACCCTTAAAGATAAACAGTGCAAATGTACTGTTTTTAAAATTGTAAGAAGCATGTTACTAACTAGAAATTGCTATTGTAGGATTTTTTCAAATGTAGATTGGAGAGATAGGACATGTTTTATAAATTGCTAGGAAAAGCTGAAAAGTAAGGTAATTCATTGAGCATGCTAGAAAAGCTTGTTTGGCACAAGAGGTTGTTGCAATGCCCATAAATACAGGCTCTAAGTCCAAAGAAATAATGTTAATTGCTTCCAGCAGACCCTTCAGGACAATTCCTTGCTATCTGGAGTAAGACATGAGAGTAAGACATCAGTCTCCTGCTGATGTAACCAAGGTCTTTACTCTGCCAAAATGCTCAGTACAATCAGAACTCTGAGTCATAGAGGCTATTGGTTCAAAGGAGCTTGCCAAATCAGTACCCAAGGTACCTTTCATATTTATTACAAATTATTCCATACTCATCTATTAGATTAAATTGTGCTGAAAGTCACTGTACTGTAGATCACTGATTTAATGCAGAAGTAGATGGCTTTCTTTTTGTCTGAATTTCTGTGTTTCTGCCACTTCTGTCTTGCTGAGCCTTCCATTTCTTTGACATTCATCTCTGAAAACTGAGTTCAGTCACCCTCTGCTTTGAGGGAATAAAGACTGGGCATGTATTCCCCCACCAAGGAGAAATCTGCAAGAAAGTGCTGGTAGCTCCAAGCACATGATGCAGCCTGTGTGCTCCCCTGAGACACCTCTCCAGGCTCTTCTGAGGAACCGACACTACAGAGACCCAGCATACAGAGGAGGTTGTAGCAATGAAAGATGACTTACCTCAGATACAGATACACTTTTACTTTATAAACATAACTGTATACCTGTACTATTTTTTTTCTTTCTTTCAGTGTAGTTTGAGTAAATTTTTATTACCTGAGGTTTCTAGGGCCTCTATCAAATAGCTATTTAAGATATGTGAGAAGTACATCGGTGAAAGAGACATTTACAGTACTTTATCTGTTTTTTATTGATTTTGCCTTTGAAGGTAGATAACACAGATGCAGAAGGAAGACTGCTGTTAGCTGATGCTCTCTGTTATGCCCACAATTTTAATGCAAGGGCTATTGTGAATGCTGCAACATTAACAGGTAAGCAGTATCCCTTCCCTGCTCATTTTGAAGTCAGTTTTGTGTTACTGTTTAGTTTGGCTGTGGATTAGTTGTGCTTTGTATATAAACCCAACCTTAATTCAAAGGCAACTGAGATGATTTTACATGTTTCAGGACAACAGTGAGCACAGCTTGTGTGTCTCTGGACTGGGGAGGGGACATGCAGTGGAGATGAAGTTGGGTTGGCTCAGCCCAGCTGGAACCAAGAGCAGGAAAACCTATGCAGACTTCAATGTTTCTGCAGTGTTTCCCTGTGCTTCTTCCGTCTCTGAGCTGAACCCTCTCAGCTCCCAAGCCTGTGTGTTGCAGAGGTAGTGACATGTTCATGGAAGAATCCTGCCCAGTCCATCTGGCACAGACCATGCTGGAGCCCAGGCAATTTCCTGGGTGGCTTGCTGAGTGCCTGAGCACCTAGCCAGTGCCAGTTCTCCCACTCTTGAGCAAGCTCAGGCCTCCATGATGACAGGAGAGCTCTCATCATTCCCCAGGAATTTATTTGACTGCAGTACCTCCTATTTTTTGTGCAGTTTGCATACTTCTAGGCATTATGAAATGTGTTTTAATTGTTTCATCTCTACAGTTGTATAATAATGAAGTAGTAAATCTAAATTTAAAACCAGCAATTGTGGATGGAGCTCATGTGCTCACTAACAAGCTGTCATGGGTGATGTGACTCTAGCTGAAATAAAAGCAAATACAGAAGAGTAATTCAGACAGGACTCCACTGTGTTGCTTAATGAATTTGCTAAGCAAAATAATTATACTTACATAGATTCTCTGGTAGTGCTTTAAATTATGTTCCATCATTTTACCAGTTCAAATGCTGTGGAAAATTTCAATAGACAGAAGAGAAATTGGTTTTAAGATGGTTGGCTTGTATAAAAGTATTCCTGTCTGGAATCCTTGGGCACCAAGCAGGAAGAGGGAGGGCTCCCATAGAAATTTCGTAGACATATTTTTCTAAACTATTTTTTTTCATCTCACTAAGGATTGAGTATTGGTATTAGTGAAGCACTTCTGGAGCATCAGGTGGATAAATATCGAGTCCCATAATTTAATATTTTGATAAGGATTATTTTAATAAATTAAATTATTAATAAAGTAAATTTACACATGCTATGCAAAAGTCTATGTAAGTGAAATTCACAAAAGAGAAAGTATCAGCTCAAAAATTATAGAGGTCTACAAACTGGAAAAATCCCATTCACTTGTATTTTCTACATGAAAGTAATAATATCTAGGTTTTTTTAGAGGATACTGTTATTGTTTAATACAATTATCTTAAAACTATTTATAAAAATCATCAATCTGAAATCATAAAATTTATTTTCATGTGAAACAGAATATAATTTTTATGATTTCTACAGTTTTTTTAGAATATAAAAATGTTTTAAAAATGTTTAAACTTTCAAAAATGTCAGTGTACTGAAGTCTTCAGGTTTTGCAGTCTGATAAATTCCTGTTACTGATAATGGGAATTAAAGATGGAAAGTTCTGTGAGGAGTCAGGATGCAGGGAATAGCTCAGGTCCACCTTTGCCTTTGTCATGTAAACTTGAAGGTGTGTTTCTTTAGGTGCCATGGATGTTGCACTGGGATCTGCTGCAGCTGGAGTGTTCACAAATTCATCTTGGCTTTGGACTCACCTCTATGAGGTAGGCCACCTGCATTATTGTTAAATCATAATAGTAATAATTCTGTGATAAATCTTATTGAAAAGTTAGTACATTACTGAAAGTCTTTATGCAAATCTGAAAGATGTTATTATGTTTTGAAATTTTGGAGAAATTATGTCAGTGCTATAACGACTTGAAAATAATGTTGACTATTAATTAGTAGCTCTTCAGTGAGATATAATATCATATGCCAAACATCTCAAGAATCTGCATGTTCCGATAACTCACTGCATATGCATAAACTCTTGACTACTGGCAGTAATTAGTTCTTGTTAAAAAGATAATTGGTCTTGCATAACAACAGGGAGACGGAAATTCAGAGAGGCCTTGTGAGTGGCTGAAGTGTGATGGATCAGGGAAGCCTCTGAAGGGAAGGATTTCTGTTGTCAGGGAAAAGGAAAAACAGATAAAAAATGTGGTCTTTTGATGTTGCCTTTTGGCTAACACTAATGCATCTAAAAACAGGATTGTCTGTTTTGTTTTGCAAACAGTGTATTTGCAAAAATCTAATATCTTGGCTGAAGATTTTTAGACTGATAAAACCTAAACAAAAAGAACCGTGCATGAAAACACGGCTTATAAGTGCACTTAAAAAAAAAAAAAAACAAATTGCCCATAATATCATTGTTTCTTTTTCAGGCCAGCATTTTGACGGGGGACAGAGTTTGGAGGATGCCTCTTTTTAAGCATTACACAAAACAAGTCACAGACTGTCCTCTTGCAGATGTGAGTAACATTGGAAAGTACAGCAGGTAAGATGAAACAATACCTCCCATGTGCCCCTTTCTTTAAACCTATTTGTTTAATATGTGTGCTGTTGGAATTGCTTTGGAAACAATACATCTTTGTATTTCCCACAGAGCTGGAGGAGCATGCACAGCTGCTGCATTCCTGAAGGAATTTGTGACTGCCTCTCACTGGGCCCATTTGGATATAGCTGGGGTGATGTCAAATAAAGATGAGGTGCCATATCTTCGGAAGGGCATGGCAGGGCGGCCCACAAGAACACTTGTAGAGTTTGCAGCTCGATTAAGTCAAGACAGTCACAATGCCAAATAAAAATACTTGTTCTAAAATCATCCACTCTGCCTTAAGAAAAAAAATCTTAAAAGGTATCATTTATAAATGAATGCCCCAAGCATATTTTAATGAATGTCCCAAGCATATTTTCACTATGGCAATTAACTAAAAATGCATTTTATAAATTATTACTTGGATAAGAATATCTCAACTTCGAGATTTGTCATCCCATACCATACTATGCAGCTAAAGATCAAAATCATTCTAACTATTGAAATATTTGATACCAAAACATGATAATGGAAATTATTGAAATGCCTATTTTATATGTAAAGTAGGCATAATTATTGTAAACAATAAATTCCCTATTTGAATGTGAGTTTTGATTGAGAGAGAATAAGCAATTGATGATAGATGTACCTCAGTTTCAGGTGAACTGTAGGTGGTGTTAATGGTAACTATGAAAAGTTGTTCATAAAAATACCATTCTGGCATTTTTTCCTTAGACAAAATACACTGCTTTTGGTATGTACTGAGGCAGAAATGCTGTGTGATTAGCATTAGCATGGGTTCAGCACAGAATTTTGTAGTAAGTTATAAACATGTCAAGAAGATTGTATACTGTAACTTCTTTACAGAAAGCTGGTGAGTGCAAGTTAGTGTTTGTGTGGTTCTTAGGGGAACTTGCCCTCATCTCACATGATTTTTGTCGTCCTGATAGTTCCCCTTTTTCCTGATGTGAGGTGGCCACACTCCAAACAGGGACATTATTCCCAGAATCAATTCAAACATCAAACAGATCTGACACTTAAAAAATGAGGTGATGTTTTCTTGACAGTTTGGGAGATCCAAACCCATAGGGTGGGGATTTGTTTTGGTTTAGGGTGGGGTTTTGAGGTTTTTTTTTAAAATGCTGTTGTGGAACAAGTGATGCTGAAACAGTGCTTACCCAGGCTGGCACCTGTGAGAGGCAGGGCAAAGGCTGGAGGAGGAGGAGGGTCCCTCTGGGAAAGAGGGACAGCTTTGCTGTCTCTGCTTTCCTTGTTCCATCAGGGCCAATGGTATCCTGGGGTGGGGTGGGAAGTGTGGCCAGCAGTTTGAGGGAGGTGATCCTCCCCACCTCCTCTACCCTAGCGAGGCCACTTCTGCAGTGCTCTGTCCAGTTCTGGGCTCGTCAATGCAAGACATGGAGCTACTGGCGAGGGTCCAGCAGCGGGCTATGAGGAGGATGGAGGGCTTGGAACATCTCTTATGCGGAGATACTTCAGGGGCTGGGCCTGTTTAGTCTGAAGAAGTCTAAGAAGGGATCTCATTAATACATTAAAATGTCTCTTAGACAGGTGCCACGATGTTGGTGCCGGACTCTTTTCGGCGGTGACAGGACGAAGAGCAATGGCCGTGAAGGAGCCCACACAAGGTGGTTGCCCGTGGGTCCGGCCCTCAGCGGGCGGGGCCGCGCCGGGCCCGCCCCGCCCCCGCCGCATGCGCAGCTGTGGCTCCCGCCATGGCGGGCGCGCTGGGCGGGATGTTCGGCTCGCAGGCCCCGGGGCCGCCGCCGCCGGGGCCGCCCGGCCCGCCCGGCCTCATCCCGCCGCCCGCGGGGCCGCGCAACCCCAACAACACGCTGGTGGACGAGCTGGAAGCGTCCTTCGAGGTGAGGGGGGGGCAGCCGCGGGCGGGCGCTGCCCTGCCTGCGCCGGGCCCCCGCAGCCGCTCAGCGCGGTGCTTCCCTCTCCCGCAGGCCTGCTTCGCCTCGCTGGTGAGCCAGGACTACGTGAACGGCACGGACCAGGAGGAGATCCGCACCGGTGAGCCCGGGGCAGGAGCAGGGCGGCGCTCCTTCCCGGTGGAACGCTGCTAAGAGTAGTGGCAGGAAGGAAACCCACCGGGGAATGCCCGGGGTCTGGTGGGAAGGTCGGGGTGTGCCGGTTGGCTCCTGGCGTTGGCTGGGGTTATACTGGCGTGCAGCGCGATGCGTTTCAAGTAGCGGAGAGCTGATGCGATCGAAAGCTGTATGAAGCAGTAGCAGGAAATGGGAAAGGCCAGGCCAGGAAGTTCAGGAGCGATGCTTTAAGTTCAGGAGCGATGCTTTAGGGCTTGGGTGACGCACCTCCGTGCAGGTGGAATAAATATTGAAATGAACGGGAGTTTGAAAAGTGGCCCTTGACTACTCCTTAGAAATGCAGGTGTCCCTGAAAATTTCCTGAAACTTCTCTCAAATGCCGTTTCAAAATCGGCATAAATGCTTTTCAAAACTCCTTTCTGGATATTTGGTCATATTCATGTGCTGTCATGGATCAGCTTTTATTACCAAAACAGTAGTGTGTAGTATATGAGGGCAGAATATTGTCCTCAATAAGTGCCTATTTTAGAACCCTACACTGAGCTTGTTGCTTAGGCATGCAGCCAAGTTCCATGAATTATCTTATTACTCCTTGTCAGAAATAAAACCTGGGAGGAAATGTTGTCCTGCACTTCTAAAATAACTTGAAAGTTTGCAAAGCAGTGTCTTTTACAGGGACTTCCTGGTTTATAAATATGTTACTTTAGCTATTCTGAAGATTTTCATTATAGAAAGTACTGTGAAAAGTGTTTTTAATAGACTATTACCATTACCAGCCTGAAATCTTATTTTTTTGGAAGCTTCTTCTTTCAAAATTGTTATTATATGTTTAGGTGTTGATCAGTGCATCCAAAAGTTTCTGGATGTTGCAAGACAAACTGAATGCTTTTTTCTACAAAAAAGACTGCAGCTATCAGTCCAGAAACCAGAACAAGTAATTAAAGAGGTATGTTAATTTACCTGTCCAGTGTTAGATCAGATAAGCTATGTACCTTAATTACCATGTTCATAATTTTGTGTTTCTCAACATGATGCTGTACTGTAAGTTGGTAGAACTTGACTGTTACCATAACTCTCAGCATGAACCTGGAGAAGCTGGATACCTGCTGCTGTGTGGAGTATTGGAACACAGCTGATAATTCACTGGAAGAGACAAACTAGTTAGGCAGATTTTGCTGGGAAGGTGGTATCTGAAATATGTGACATAGGTGAGTAGCATTAGTGCATTCACAGTGCTTCTGTATCATTGGCCATTTTTCCTTTATTCCATTTTTCTACTGTAAGATCAGCTTGAAAGCTCAAGGTCTAAAAAAGTTACGTGCTCTTTATGTGAGGTGGTTATTCTGTTGAATACTATTTATTTACTAATAGACAATTCTTTCATCAACAGGATGTTTCAGAATTAAGAAATGAATTGCAGAGAAAAGAAGCATTAATTCAGAAGCATTTGAGTAAACTGCGACACTGGCAACAGGTCCTGGAAGACATCAGTGTACAGCACAAAAAGCCTGCAGAAATGCCTCAAGGTCCATTAGCTTACCTAGAACAAGCATCTGCAAATATTCCTGCTCCAATGAAGCAAACATAATTTTACACAGCTCAATATTTTAAAAGCAATAGTGTTCTTTGTATGCTTTTTGTATAATGTAATTTGTACTGCAAATATAGTTAGAACAATTAAGCTAAATAAATTATCTTCTTTTATTACAGTAATATGGATTGGTTTTATGTTTTAATGGAAAATATTCTGAGTTGCTGTTCAGGGTGCTTTCTGGTAGAAGTGTGTCTCCCAGAATGCATCTCTGTTCCTTCTAGACAGGGTCGCCCTTTCTTTCCCCTCTTGTCTTTTTGGTATGATCAAAATATATGCAGAGATTAGTGCTTGATTTTCCTGGAATATTTAAATGTTTTGTGATCCAGTAATTATCCCTGAGTACCACTGCAGAAGCACCCTTAGAATTGTCTCTGTGTAGGTCAGACCACTTTTTTCTGAAGTGAATTGTCAATCTCCACCAGACTGGCTCACCTCATGGAAGGTGTCTTGGGATATACAAATTTGATTCTTATAGGATGAATTGTAATGGAAAAATAGACAAAAAAGGGTGGGATATGTAATGGAGGCCTCATGTTACTTATGTTCTGACTCTCAGGCTACTGAAGAGGTATTCCGAAATACCCATCCCCAAAATATAGACCACTCATTGTGGAGGTAGGATCACCACCACTGTCTAGTATACAGAATTACCGTTAATTACAGTGCTCTATTTATTAAGTTAAGTGTAGCCAAAAAGGATTTCAGAGGTAGAAATAGCAAGAGTCCTGTCTGTGTATTACTAAGCAACAAATTTAATTCATCCATATAACCACTTTTCTACAATAACTTTTGGGGGGCAAAGTTGAATAATTAATTGTAACCCTGGAAATACGAATTGCTAATTGTGTATTGAAATTTCTAGTGTACTTGGGGCAGCATGGATGAAAAGTAATGAAAACAGTGTTGTACATTTCCATCCTCAGAGATGCCAAGGCACCCATCAGTGTTACTGTGCACTAGTTAATCTCTTTCTTGATTACAAGTATGAAAAGAGCCTTCTTACCAAATCTACTACCAGTCACTTTTCCAACCAAACAGTTCCTCTTGGAAAAAATACTAGATAACTGGGATGAAAAGTATTGGCATGGAGAAGTGTTCTGCCCTTCCTTCCACCTTTGCACCACCAGTGAGATGCAGTGACTGTTTTATATGGAGTGTTTGCATCTGTTGGTGTAGCTCTTGCTGGAAGAGGTTAGGCTGGAGGTACACCTCGTTGCAGATGTAAAATTTTTTTAGGTAGCTGGGCCCTGATGGTTGAAACCAAATGGGGATTCAAAGCAATTGAAGAGGAACTCTCCTGTCTTAAACAGCAGGCTGCTGGTTGCACTCTTCCCTGCCTTTCACACTGGGTTAATTGCCCAAGCGTCAACTTCTTCATGGGTTCTTTCCTGCCAGCAATGAATTAGCATGATCTGATAAATGTAGTCATCCCTCCACTTTGCTTTTATGTGGGCATAAAACTATTATGGAGTTAAAAGGTACAAGGATGTAGTTGCCATCGCTGTGGAGCTCGGTGTACAAGTCTGACTTACTTCAGTGTAACATAGAACTCTTTCAAAAAACATAGAAATTGGATAATTTACAAGCTTTAATGTTCATACTTACACATCATCCTAATTTATCAGGCTGATACATGTATTGAAATTCAATGGGAATATTACATAGCAATGCTGACTATACAAAACAGTTTATGAAGCAAACCAGAAATTATTTCTAAACCAGCCTGCTATAAACATGCTATTTTTGAAGGTGTACCACATGCTGTACAGTTTAAAATTAATTTAACAAAAAGCATTAAAAACTTTCTAAATTACATTATATGAAGAATTTACTTTAAACAGCTGATGAAGCAAGTGTATAAATGTACAGAAGGAAGATCTTTTTTCAGCTGGTGTCAAATTGACAGAAGGTATCAAAATCCAAATCCCATATTTAATGAAATTGTAGAGTGGTACAGTCTCATGATTATAAAGTCTTTTTGCATAACTGTATCCAAACTTTTTCTTCTTTTTTTTTTTTTTACAGAAGTTGTTAAAAAAAAATGCATTTTCCTGAAATTCATGCGTGTAACTCCATAGTTACTAGGTATAAGAGAGTGCAAGTATTTTCTGACTTTACTTAGAAATTACATAATTTTTTTTCTTGCCTTAAATCATCTATTGGATTATCATTCCTAAAAAGAAAACATGAATGACTTCTATAGTAATTCTGAGAAGCATGGAAATAGTTTTTCTTAAAATGAAAAATACTTAGTAAACCATTCTTGATGTTGAGGGTCTTGTTTTTGGTCATCTTTGGTTTGTGGTGGTTCATTGCCATGTGTCCTGTGCAAACAAATAAGCATTAGCATCACTGACCTACTTACAATCTTATCAGTATGTAATACTTTTCCTAGAAAAACATCCCATGAATGGTTCTGTGCTCACGTGAATAGATGAGGCCAAAAGGTGCCAGCTAGTTTTAGTGGGATCTGTGCCAGCCAGGTAACTGGATTAGCAGCACTGGTTGCCACATGAAGAAAAGCATGAAGCAGAGTTTAACAGCTATGGAGAAACATTTGACATAGTTCTTAACTTGACACCATAAAAAAATTAAACAAAAGGATGCTTGAAAATCAGAGAATGGCAGCTGCAATCCACTCTTAAAAATATAAAATACAATTTATGCATTAAAAATGTTTGATAAAAGTTCTATTTGAAACTGCAAGATTTATCTGAACAAGACCTGCCATTCATAATCAATCCTATTACATAGTCCCTGATTTTCCATAATTCAGGATTTTTTTAACATATGATAGCAAATAGGACTTAACTTATGATTGACTGATTTAAATGAATTAAGCAAGCAGCACCCAAGCGACCCTCAGTCTCTCTATACGTTTGTTTCCTTTTAAAACAGAAATTCCATTTGCCTTGTCAGTCATCTGGCATGACACAGCATGTTTGTATCTTTAAGAAGTGGGAATTGCCAAACAGGATCTAAGCCTGTGTCCCAGGTTGTTTTAGTCAGCAGTCAGCACCATCGGCCCCCAAGGAAGGAACTCTCTTGCACATAATTTACAGGATAACTAAATCTCCATCAGAAGATTGGTGAGAAGGCTGGATTTTGTCCTGAAATACAGTGCTTAGGTTTGGGGATTTTTTAACTGTATATTAGCTACATACAGTTTTAACTATATTTTGAAGAGGGAGTCCATGTTATAAAACCTGAACATCATTCACATAACTCATAAATTTGAAGAATTGAAGCTCCTCAAAGAGAAAGAAACAAAGTATCTGCTAATCAGTTTTCAAGTCTCTAGCTTTTGCCAAATGATCAGCCTAGATTCAAATACCTTCTAAAATAAAAAACATTCCATCTACACCTACCAAGTGCAAGGTGAGGCAATAAAAATAAGACAGAAGACACATCCTTAACAGAACCACTGAAAGATGCCATATTCACAATTAAATACAATTAAATACCAGCTTGTGTGTGTGTGTGTGGGTTTTGGTTGGTTGGTTTGGTTTTGGGGTTGTTTTTTTTTCCTACCAGGCAGGGTTGCAAGCATAAGGTCTGCTGGGCAGGGATTACAGCCTAGTTTTGCAGTAAAGTTCTGCATCTGTCTGCAGAAAACCAAACACAGAGTTCATTGCACAGTAGGAACCTTACATCGTTGTGTATGTCTAATATGTTTGAATTGCCTACAAGATTCTAAATATGAATTCATTTATCATCATACAAAATGTACAAATACCTTGTGGCAGCACTGCTGTCTGAGGACTGTGTTGATGGAGAGCCCACCCTGAGGCAGCCAGGACTCCGGTCTAAGCTTGTAGATTTTGTTATTTGTGGAGCACTTCTTTTTGATCTTAAATCACAGCTCAAAAAGCTCTTTGCGTAGGAAGCTAAATTTGGAACACTGACAACACGACTGGGTACCTCAACCGTTTTCTTCTTCTGCTTTTTATTGTAACAGAAAACTTCATTACATACACATTATTTACAATTTATAATATAAAACCTCAACAATATCTCATTTCCAAATATCTTCTGAGGAACACCCAAATAGGATGATTTCTATCTTTTTCTATAGGCATTTAAATTAAATTCTCAGGGTACGCTGTGAGTATTCCATAGATTTTGTCATCTGACTAAAACAACTTGTGTATTTGACCCTGATATCTTAGACAGACCAAGGTGCTTTCCACCAACTTGACCTCTCTTCTTTCTATGGCTATTTGTAGAAAGTATCATGCGGAGGGGCTGGAATGACAAAGGGCAGATACCAAGAAACTCAAACAGATTAATGATTTTCCTCTATGCATGCAATATCCCAATTAGCAACTCCCAAATCTGCAAGCAATGGCCATGCTTATCCCAGTGGAAGACTGATGTCAGAGTTCTAGTGTTTTATATTGGCTTAAACACCTGTTATCTATATTGCATGTGTACTTCTACTGAATTTCTCCTATGCTCAACAGCTGACTGTAGATTGGCGCTGTAAAAAATTCTACTGACTAACATTATCATAAAAAAATGACAGCACTTTTATTGTCCTGATTGGCCTGTATGATTCAAATAGTAATAAAAGCTATCACAATTTGTGATTTTAATTGCATTGCTCATCTTACCTTCATGGAGGGAGTCAGGCATACTGTATTAGGGTTGAAAGAAAATGACCGATTCCTGTAAGATTCAGAGCTGGCTGAAAGTGAATGCTGACATTTTCCTCCTTCCTGAAGGGAAACAAAGTTATGTGTATGGAAACATGTATTTGTTGGAAGCCAGTATGGAAAGATACATTTGTCAAAGAATTCCTGAGTAGAAAGAAATAATCTGTCTGAAGAAGTGTGTGAAACACTGACTAGAGCCTTGCAGTAGATTCCTAAATACGTATGTCCATATAAAAAGCAGTCTTACCACCAGCTGCTTGATAATCTCTTCTCTCTCACTTAATTTGTCTTGCAGACAGTTTATAAGGTGTGTATCTTCAGGCCTGGACTCCCACTTTCTTGACTTTTCTTCTAATTCTTTAAGTCTGTACAGAAGAAAATGCAGACCAGAAAAATATTTCCTCAGATTCGGTTCAAGAGACACCTCAGATGTACCCTGCCCTATGTTTCAAGCCTAAAATACA